ATGATTATTATTAATAATATTATTTTAAGCTATATAAAGAGACACACTGAAAAAAATACGAGATTCATACGACCAAAGGTATCAATGCAGGGTAAGATACAGCTAAGAAAGAAAGAATAGAAAGCCAGCTATTTACATAACATGAACATATTACTTACGAAATATTCCGAGATGGAGTCAAGCGATTGGAACCCATACTGAATGGTGTTGGGATCAGTGTAAATGCAAATTTTCAGTTTATAAGTTCAGGATAATCCTTTGGCATCACCAATCATAATTTTTCACTTTTATTTCTTATTTTTTGGTAGTGTCTTAATGTGGTTAACGGATAGCAGTGACGGTTAATTTCAAAAAGTATTTAAATATCAAATTCTTCTGCGAGCCAGAGCATATATATTCTTACAAATACTGTTTTGAGAAAGAATGTGAACTACATGAATTCCTTCGTCCAGGCATATTGAGCGATGCAAAAATAAATCAGTGTGCCCTCTTCATATCCGTTTTCTATGATCGATTTTGTTTTGTGAAGGAAATAACGTTTTTGACTGCAATTTTCATACTGAATAATCACATTTGGTTTATATTGTACATATACGTATACATATTATACATGAATATGCTACATAATAATATACGATATGTTGAGATTCGTCACGATATACAAATCTGTTGCAATCATGTGACGCAATGTCATGAGGGTCGTAAGAGACGGGTATAGCATTCGAATTGTATTTTACAAATCAGAAAAAAATAAAAACTAAAATACCACAGAATACCACAATAATCCATGATCTAATCGTCGTTAATATGGATCTATATAAAGATTTGACATTTTCTACGAATGACTTAGCATACTTCCACCTATTCCGCGTGATAAAAAAATACATTTAGCTCCATCTTTTAGTACCAAAAATGGGTTATACAGGTACAATTAAAGCAAGCACTTCACTTAGGATCCACAGTTAGTACTCAAACACTCCTGGTTATTTAGCAAAGGCGGGAACTTCAGCGACAAAACCCTCAAGCAGTTAACTTACTTACCACATCCAGTGCTACATCCCGATGAAAAATGCCCAGCCGTCTACATGTAATACAGTTTCTACTTCCGGCACACACTCACCATCCTCGGACACTATAGAGCCACCACCATCACTCTGTCCTCTCCCTGCCGCGCTTCCTGTAGGAGTGGGAGAAACACCAGAGTCACCCTGTTATAACGGCTTCTCACGGAACGAACCTGTACTGAACGCGTTCCTTACCCAGGGGGGGGCGGAGGTGGGAGGGGGTGGGGGGGGGGGGAGGGCGTCACAGAACGAATTCATGTTTTTTTTCTTTCTTTTTTTTAATTCTGAGGTGGAAAGGCGTTTTCGTTTTTTTCCCTTTCGTGAACCCGTTTACGATGAGGAAGGGGGTTAGAGTTCGTTTGGCTTAATTGATGTCGTTTTCGTAAACTTTGGGATAAACTTTGCGGTTCGTTCCCCGTGGGAGGTGGATCCCCCCCCCCCCACCAAACTCCCCCCCCCCCTACCCCTTCACCTAAACCTGTACCTGACGCGTTCAAAACTCAAGCAGCAGACATTGCACCACCCTTTTGCACTCACACGTAATACATATATATATATATATATATATATATATATATAATATATATATATATATATTATATATATATATATAATAATATATATATTATAATATATATATATATACATAAATATATACATATATATTACCTATATATATATATATATATATATATATATATATATATGTATATATATATGTATATATATATTATATAATACATACATATATATAATATATATGTATATATATGTATATATATATATATATATATAATATATATATATATATATATACTATATATATGTATATTATATATATATATGTATATATATTATATATATATTATATATATTAACATATATATATACTTTTATATATATACATACACAAAAGTATATAATATATATATATATATATATATATATATATATATTCATGCACACATATATTGTGTGTAGATATACATACATATATTATATGTGTATATATATATAATATATATATATGTATGTATATATATATGTATATATAATATATTATATGCATACACATATATATTTAGCATATATATGTTATATATGTACATATATATATATTGTTGTATATATATAAGTATTATATATATAAATATACGCATATATATATATATATATATATATATAATATATATATATATATATATATATATATACGCATAATATAAATATATACATAAATAAATAAATAAATGTATATATATGCATATCAATATATATATATGTATATATATATGTATCTATAAATATATATATATACACATATTATATTATATATATATATATATATATATATATATATATATATATATATAATATATGTATGTATGTATGTATATGTATTTATGTGTGTGCGCGTTTGTAAAAAATCAGTATTTTAAAAATACTTAAAGAAACTTCCGGACATTCCAGAGAGCGGCTGGAAAGTAGGAGGGGGGGGGGGGGGGTTAAACAGGAAAGTTCTCGCGGCAAAATGAACTTTCTGTCGAGCTGAGCTGTTGGCGGCGGCGGCGAGCCAGCCACTGGGCGGCGACGTCACGAAACGTTCGGCCGGTCTCTCACGCGTTCGTGTTCTTCGGACGGGCGACCTCGACTTGGGTTCGGAGTGCGGTATTGAACGATGAATTTTAAGGATATCCGGAATTGCTATTTAAAAAAAATAGTAACAAAACAACAGTAATGATAATAATAATAATAATAATAATAATAATAATAATAATAATAATAATAATAATAATAATAATAATAACAATAATAGTAATATTGATTTCGAGGATCTGTAACATTTGGTATGCGAACAAGACTGATTATATTTCTAAGAACTGGATATGGCAACAGCACGAGCTTATATATTGATAAGACAAACGTAAGTAATTTTAGTCAGAACATTAGCTAGAAATTTCCTTAGTCACTCTCGAACCTTCAGGTAATATTTCGAACATAATAATCGAATCACAATATATTATCATACAAGACTGATTATATTTCTAAGAACTGGATATGGCAACAACACGAGCTTATATATTGATAAGACGAACACGATCAATATCATGATAACTAATAATGATAATAACAAGGATTGAGAATGTGATTGCACTCTTTGGTATAAAACAATGCAAGAGTATATCATTGTTTGCAACATGTTATCATAGGCAGATGAACACGATCAATACATGATGGTTAATAATGATAATAATGATTGAGAATGTGATTGCACTCTTTGGTATAAAACAATTCAAGAGTATATCATTATTTGGTGCAGTTTGCAATAGTCTTTCTGATAGTTATAAGCTCTAGACAATACCCTCTGTTGCACCTTAAAATGGCCGAAAAATGATGGCAGACGTTGCAGCTCACACCGTTTAACTCTTACTGTACACCACATGAATAATTTATTGATTTACTGAAACCGTTCTGCCGGGTGAACATCTGAGGTTATTCGTTTTCAAATCATGGCGATAGGTTGAGGCTTTGGGAGAATTTTTGTTTGTTTGTTTTGTTCATAGGACGGTGTTTGTGGATTCCCAGAATGGTTAGTGGTCCAAACAAACAACTGTGCCAGCCATCAGAGGTCATGCATCATTATGATCAAGTATTGTGGCGAAAAAGGGTAAAAATGAGCCAAAGATTAGGACAAACTGTCAGATGTTTGAAGGTCGTGGAGCACTGTAGGTTAGTATGGTAGTGAATAGGGTGAAGAGGAAACGAAGTACGAGGCCGTTCGGGACTGACACAAAGCCAGCCTTTCTTCCTTTCAGCACGGCTCTCACACCCGAGGGAGTGGGCAGACGGGGATGAAGAACAGAAAGAAAAGTAAAAGGGGATAATAAAAGACCAAACAAAATTAGTTGAGGCGAGGGCTGAGGGCCAAGGCAGGGCGATTCCCTATGATTGGCCTCAGTATGTCTCGTACCCTCCCCCACCCCCCCACCCCCCAATCCCACGACAACAATGGGCAAGGGATGGTGGTTTGGGTATATGAACAAGGTCTTTCATTCAGAATTAAGACACTATGAACAGGAACATGCACTTTTCGGAGTTTACTATGGTTGTTACTTGCACGGTCTCATTGAAAGTTAGATTCTAGTTTGAGCATTGTGGGTTTTTCTACCATGTTAACATAGTAGAATGCTTTTACTCTTCATTCATACTTTATGTTACTGGAATACTTTAGTAAATTTCCGATTTCTCTTCTGTTTGGCGTCATTTAGGGCGCTGGAAGGGGGGGGGGCTCTGAAAAATTCCCCCCCCCCTAGTAGCTTCAATGGATCTCTATGGTATCTTTGTACTAATGAATACCCAGTTTTCTTCTGTTCCTTTCGCCAAATTACATTGCACGATGATTATAAAACTAAAAAAGTCTTTTCAAATATTAATTTATTGTTTTTAATAATAATGGCACTCTCGATACATTTTTCTTGGTAAATATAATGACTGTTAAAATACTAAGGATAAATCTATGTACATATTTACATATTTGCTTCGACGAAGAGAAATATTATAAAAAAAAAAAACCTATACACTGTTTCAAATACAAGAATATAGATACATTCCTTTTATGACTACCTTTATAAATATATAGTCTTACTGGCAAGTGAACACTGGACACATCATGTGGTTAACATACCTTTGCTATGTACACATAAGAACAATAGAACTGACTGAGAGAAAATAAGTGATAAGAGACAGATAACGAGTTAATACGGGGAGATTATACGAAAATAAAGACAAGGGAGAGAGGAAGGGAGGGGAGAGAAAGAGAATAACAGAGGGGACGAAGAGGACGAAGATGAGAAGGAAGTTGGGGAGAAGGGGAGGCAAGGAAGGAAAAAGGGGTCAAGTGGGTGGTATACGAGGAGGAGGAGAGAGAGAGAAGAATGAGAAGAGACAAAGAAAGAGCAAGAGTGAGAGGAAAGAGAAGAGACAAAGAAAGAGCAAGAGGGAGAGGAAAGAGAAGAGAAAGAGAAGAAGAGAAGAGAAGAGAAGAGAGAGAGACAGAATTTTCTTGTAGGCCTACATTGTTTAAAGACTGGTTACAGTCACCGAGAACTGAACTCCCCTTGAACCCTTAGCCTCCGCGGCGTGGCCGGGCGCCTGCTCGACCTCGCTGCCTCGTTATCTGGACACCCTGACGATCTCGCCCCGCCCCTTCCCGAGCGGCGCCAGAGGAGGCACCTTGGTCCGCACGCACATCTTGGACACGCTTTGTTCCTGGGGCCTCCGGTAGCAGGTGTTGACGTAGCAGGACCTGGCATGGCCCAGCACCTTGGTCATGACGGTGGTGTCGCCCTCCGAGGGGCCCGCCAGGAAGTCGCACAGGTACTCGGCGCTCTCGGGCAGCTCGATGCAGCAGTAGAGGTGGTCGACGTGCAGCGTGTAGAAGCGGTTGAGGCCCTCGCGCTTGACGCCCGTCCGCTCGGCCAGCGTGCCCGTCACGTGCACGTCGTCGATCCAGAAGTAGGGCACCTTGGACGACTCGGCCACGATGCGTCGGGCGGCGTCCAGGGTCATGGCGTACGCCCAGCCCGACATGAAGGGGGCGTAGAAGTCGTCGGCGAACTCCCTCTCGCTCACGTACCACTTGCTCTCCTTGTTGCGCACCGGCCGGGCCTCCACCTGCAGCAGCCCCAGGATCAGGTTGGACCTCTCGCGGTACCTGTACTTGAGCAGGTCTCGGAACTGGTACAGGTCGACCACGATGTCGTCGTCCATCTTGATGATGTACTTGGCCTGCGGGCAGTAGCGCGTCACCCACTGCAGCCCCATCACGTGCTTGTACGTCAGGTTGTGGTAGTGCTCCTTGAAGTTGCCCTGCACGATGTCCTGGCTCTGCACGTTCTCCCGGTCGATGTCGGACTGCGGCGTCTGCTGGTACAGCTCCTGGTCGTGCCACTCGGCGCGGGCCAGCAGGAACACGCGCCGCACGCCCACGTCCTGCAGGTCCTGCTGGGGGATCTGGGCGCGCATGATGTCTCGCACCTCCCGGTTGGCGGGGTGCGTGTGCACGATGACGACGGCGAACACGTCGCTGCCGTGGCCGCACACGTCGTTGTTGATGACGTAGGTGAAGTCCTGCAGGTCCAGGAGCGGGAGACGAGACGGGTAGAGAGGGCTGGCGCTGAGGGGCGGGCGGGGGGCGGGGGGGCAATTGGCAGGAGGTTTTCCCATATTCTCACCACCATAAAGACGCCCACACTGACACACAGGAACAGCAGGCCGGCGGGCTGGCAGCACAGCCGTGCCCTGGGCACCCATGCCATGACGGAGGAGGCGACTCGGATCACCAAATTGCACAGGCAACTCATTTTCATAAACATTTAGGAATTCTGATGCCCATTGCAATATAATCCTGAATGCCCAGAAGCTTATTCCATCGGGGCAAAACTTCAGTCTGCAAACACCAAAGTGGAATCGGGAGATTTGAACGCCATGGAAGCTATGCTCACTTTCCTCAGAGGTCGAAACAAGTGAAAATGTCTTACAAATGACAGTTTTCGTAAATCATTGCACTCACTAAACGCATACATATTCTCATCGCCCGACTTATTCGGTCAATACAAAGCCAGATACAGCTTTGTTATTGTTACAGCGAGGGTGACCTTGGCCTGCTACATGTCGACTCTGGAAAGCTCCTCCAGAAACACCCAAACACTCTCAAAAATGCCTTTCCTCTCACCAGGAATGAACGCTAACCGACTATCGTACATCTGGGGGGCACTGGCGATCCCCCGGAAAGCGTACGTCATCCGACTTCGGTGAAAAACGTGCACAATTAATGAGTGAATAGCGAGAGACCACGTACTCCTCCTGGCGTTCCTCACCTGGGCGTTGCCATGGCGACCGCTCGGCCTCCGACGCCGCTCCTTCCAAACTGAAGACATTAGATCAAACTTCAAAAGACTGCGACTGTTTGTTTGTTAGTTCATTTGGCATGTATCTACATTGTTCAAAGGGAATCATTTGAAGTGTACTAGAGCTTGAAACGAAAGGAAACGCAGTTGTAGTTAATGCACACCGAAAGTATTCTGGGTTTTGTTCGTGATTGTCACATTGAGATGTTAGTTTTAATTGACATTAAGGCATCATTTAATTCCTGTATAGTGTTTATCAGTCGATATATAACAAGGCGCAATTTTACAAAGCAAAAAAGAACCAACAAATTGTGTTTTGCGTGCGTCCGAATGAGTTCAAGTGGATTTCATAACATAATGATTACTAAGTTGTTTGTTTAAAATAGGCATAATTTATAATACAGTGATTCCTACTTCAACGAAAAAATATACTTCAAGTAAAAACTGAAGCCCACATATGTAAATGAAAGCAAAGTTTAATTGAAATAGAGGGCATGCTATAAGCAACGCGTCCGAACGCATCCGAGTAAACAAACGAGGAGCAAAACACAGACTTGCAATGGCTCTTGTTGCATACAGCGACGACAGTGATCTAGGCAGTGACTCGGAGGATGTCGAGGAATCCCCCAAAGTCACCGTCAACGGTGAAAGTAAGGCCAAACAGCCACCGGAGAGCAGTGATAAGGAACAGGCCAGTTCCCAGATCGATCCGGAGGCCAACCCCAAGGCAAACCCCAAGGCAAACCCCAAGGCAGAGCCGAACCTCGGAGGCGTCGGTACGAGCGTGGATGACATTGTAGATTTCGACGAGGATGACACGACGGAGACAAGGAGTGGTCTGCTGGCTGCCATCCCTCGTGCCAAGCCAAGTCTGGAGGCCAGTATCCCCTTAGGTGCGGAGGTGGATGAGGTGACGGATGTGCCGACTGTGGACACCTGGAAAGTCACCCAGAAGATAAAGGAGGAGGGTGGTGATTCACAGATCAATAGAGCATCCAGTGCGTCCGTTGCAGTTAAAAAGAAGAAGGAGAAGAAAAAAATACAGTTTATTATTCCGTCCCTGTCTGAGGTAAACATTTCAGTGTTTAGGCATTCATCACTGTTTATTATCGCAATAGAACTTGACCCAAGTATTTGAAGGAATAAGTATGATATAGTTTGATGATTTAGATATCTATGGATGTTTTTTTCACTGGGGAATTTCCTTTCCCTCGTTATTTTAGCAACAGTTTATTTTTTTTCAGGTATCATTTGAAAGTGCATTTCAAGGCTAGATTAATGAATGGTCTTTTAAAATTTTGCAGAAGACCCTTGCATAACTGACCGCGACAATTCTGGAATTGATGAATTTGTCTCGCTCCCTACTAACTAGATCTTATCAAAATTATGCTGCAGAACCCCCCATCCCCCCCCCCCAAAAAAAAAAGACTGATTCAGCATGATGTTACTAGGCGGGGTTACCATGACACTTGGTGAATACAAACCCGTCTCACAGAAACCTGTTATAGAATAATGAAAAATTATATTTTTGTGAGCAAAAATGTTGTATGAATACTTCGGTATGTCAAAAAGCAGAGAGAAATACAGTCATGATGTGAAACTATAAGCTTTGCAACCAGTGTCCATATTGTCTACCTCCTGAAATTTGGATCAGTGATTCTTCTAAGTGGCCCAACATTGGAGTACCGATTCCATTGGTTGTTTGAACCACAGTATGATAGGAAAGAAAGGTCTAAGCTTTCGTATATTTCCAGATTGCTAGAAGAAACCTGAAAAATGGAAGCGATGGGTCAGGCCACGAAACGCGTACACGTTGATGAGACTGCTTGGGCGCTTAATGGAAAATATGTTCATATCTGCTCAGAACATTTTATTTAATTGATGTATATATTGATATATCACACCTTCTCTGTTTCTAATGTAAACATATTTTCCATCAGGTGCCCAGGCGCTCTCATCAGTGTTTACGCTTTACATGGTCCGAACCTATGGCTTCCATTTTTTGGGGGAAATGTGAAAGGTTAGGCCTTTCTTTCCCATCATATTGTGGTTTAAACGCTTACACAACTCTTTGGCATTTTCACCTAAAAAACGTTAAATTCTAGGAAAAACACAGCAAATCCATAAGTACGCACAATGAGTTTTTGAATGAACGAGGGTTTATTTTCACCAAGAGCTCATTGCTAGGTGCAGTTGCTGCGCTTTACTAAATTGGTCTATTAGTGATAATCTAGGCCCCGGTAGCAGGGAAGGGTATGAAAGATACCAGGGAAAATGTAGGGTAAAATATGAATGATATATATAGAATCAGTCACCATTTTGCCTACCCCCAGCAACCCCTGCAATTCAAGACAAAGAATCCTTCATATATTTACGACAGTGTAGAGCATACAACCAGCTCTCTCTTGCTGTGAATATGTGAAGGATTCTTTGTTTTCCATCACGGTGGTAAGGGGGCAGCTTTCCCCGTAGGTGGTCACATGGGGCTGTACCACCTTTGTTAGACAATGTAGTGACAGATTCTATGTACATTATTCATATTTAACCCACAATTTCCTAGGTACTTTTCATGCCCTCCCCAGTATTCGGGGCTAAGAATTTGGGGGTTTGGGGGGGGGGGGTTCTGCAGCATTATTTCTGCACATGTACAAGGGGGTCTAAAATTACCAATTTTGTATAATACTCTCCCAAGTTATGTGTTTCTGACAACAAAATAAAGGCTAATATTGCAAATTCAATAGATTACAATAAGATATTGTACTTATACAAAATTGAGAATGTACACCTTTTTCTGCTTGTTTTACTGAATGAAATCATTTGTAAATGACATAATGCAGATTTTGTCACCAAAAAATTAAAATTCAAGATGATCACTATAAGATAAATAAACATTAATTCACAAATATTTTCATATTTGCCAGATGGAATCATAATTGAAGTACAGTTTTAATTATGAGCTTTTGATACTGTGAATACCTCACCACCTGCCTCCTGGCTTTTTCTCCCTCTTCCACCATTAACCCAATGCCGATGGGTAAAAATATTTGGCAAGTGGACGTATGGACTGGGTTGTTGGCGCGCATCGGCAGTTTCCCCTGTTTGCGCCTGGCTAGATCGGTAGTTTGCGAGGGACATTTAGCACCTAAAAGCTTTTATTTTGCTATAATTTATAAAAATATTAAAATTTTGAAGGTTTACCTTCATTATAGGTGCCATTGCCTAAAATCTTTACCATATAAATGAAGCCGCTACTATCGGAGAAAAAAAACTCCGTCCGACGAGCCAGTGGTGCGGGAATGGGCATGACACGATGCCACCCGTTTTTCGGTCCACAACAGCCATGGCATGCACGTACATGCCACCCGTCGGCTTGGGGTTAATGTCATGCATGCCTCCTGACATCCTGCTGATCACAGTATTTCCCAAGCCAGGGGCTTTACCCCTTATCCCCCCTTCTGTGCTGGTGCAGTCCTTTTGTACACTTTAACCTTAACCAAAAATGATTATTTTCAGAGATTATGGAAATACACACCATTTATATAGTGAAATTAATAAGACCTTATAATTTAAGAGAAACAAGGGTTATAGATTTGATACTAATGTAATGATAACATGAAAGAATTGCTGAAGGTGGGAATTAAACATTTTCTTCAAGACAGAGGAAGTAAGTGTCCCTATTTAGAAATTCTTTAAAGAAAATTTGGTTGGGAATAAGATAGATAGTAATAATAAGCCAGTCAAGGAAATACAACTTCACGTTTTTTTGTTTTAATGATTATTTGCCTGAAATCAGTTAATTATGAATACAACTCCAAATGACAAGTCTAAATTCTCAGATCAGTAAGATGTCTGGATCTTATTAACCATAGGAAAAAGATTGGTTAATCTTTATGGTATGGATGCACCAAGCTCAGGTGAATTGATGATAGTATTCTTGTAAAGGACATAAAGTTGTAGTTGTTGGTACAAGAAAAAATCTGGAGACATGAACGTAAAGCCACAAATGAAATAAAGAGATCACAGAAAGTGCCACTCACAACCTAAGTTCACTTGGTACTCCCAAGTTTCAGCTCTATCTATGTATACTGAGGTGAAGACAATGTTTCCTGGGAGGTGTTGAGGGGCAGAGCCCCCCATCAACCCTCCCCTTGGGCAGTGCCCAAAGGGCACATCCAGTCACAGCAATTTAGATTGTTGAATAAAGTTTGTGACGTGGAGTTGGGGACTTTTTCTTTGGTGAGTTCTTCCGTACTGTATAGGAATACTAAAAAGTCCATACACATGCTCTATAAAAATCATTGATGAACTATTGTGTTGCAGGCTTTATTTTTTGTCATTTAGATAAAGATTTATTTGTGAAAAATGCTATTAATTATCTAAGAACTTTTTTCTGTAATTTTTATTATTATGTTTTCTTCACATATGCACTGCAATCCTGGGATCTTTAATGAATGTGATCATGTGGCCTCTTTGATGCAACTTAGAATCTTGGATGTTTGTTCCACATTCTTTGAATATCAGAATATTTGATATTGCTTTCAACAACAGAGCATGCTATGCACATTGTAAGAATGTCAATACTGGGGTGCAGTAGCTGCTTAGAGAAAAGAGATACAATAATTACATAAGATATTTTACTTATACAAAATTGAGAATGTACACCCTTTTTCTGCTTGTTTTACTGAATGAAATCATTTGTAAATGACATAATGCAGATTTTGTCACCAAAAAATTAAAATTCAAGATGATCACTATAAGATAAATAAACATTAATTCACAAATATTTTCATATTTGCCAGATGGAATCATAATTGAAGTACAGTTTTAATTATGAGCTTTTGATAGTGTGAATACCTCACCACCTGCCTCCTGGCTTTTTCTCCCTCTTCCACCATTAACCCAATGCCGATGGGTAAAAATATTTGGCAAGTGGACGTATGGACTGGGTTGTTGGCGTGCATCGGCAGTTTCCCCTGTTTTGCGCCTGGCTAGATCGTAGTTTGCGAGGGACATTTAGCACCTAAAAGCTTTTATTTTGCTATAATTTATAAAAATATTAAAATTTTGAAGGTTTACCTTCATTATAGGTGCCATTGCCTAAAATCTTTACCATATAAATGAAGCCGCTACTATCGGAGAAAAAACAAACTCCGTCCGACGAGCCAGTGGTGCGGGAATGGGCATGACACGATGCCACCCGTCTTTCGGTCCACAACAGCCATGGCATGTACGTACATGCCACCCGTCGGCTAGGGGTTAATGTCATGCGTGCTTCCTGACATCCTCCTGATCATAGTATTTTCCTAGCCAGGGGCTTTACCCCTTATCCCCCCTTCTGTGCTGGTGCAGTCCTTTTGCACACTTTAACCTTTACCAAAAATGGTTATTTTCAAAGATTATGAAAATACACACCATTTATATAGTGAAATTAATAAGACCTTATAATTTAAGAGAAACAAGGGTTATAGATTTGATACTAATGTAATGATAACATGAAAGAATTGCTGAAGGTGGGAATTAAACATTTTCTTCAAGACAGAGGAAGTAAGTGTCCCTATTTAGAAATTCTTTAAAGAAAATTTGGTTGGAATAAGATATAGTAATAATAAGCCAGTCAAGGAAATACAACTTCACGTTTTTTTTGTTTTTAATGATTATTTGCCTGAAAATCAGTTAATTATGAATACAACTCCAAATGACAAGTCTAAATTCTCAGATCAGTAAGATGTCTGGATCTTATTAACCATAGGAAAAAGATTGGTTAATCTTTATGGTATGGATGCACCAAGCTCAGGTGAATTGATGATGGTATTCTTGTAAAGGACATAAAGTTGTAGTTGTTGGTACAAGAAAAAATCTGGAGACATGAACGTAAAGCCACAAATGAAATAAAGAGATCACAGAAAGTGCCACTCACAACCTAAGTTCACTTGGTACTCCCAAGTTTCAGCTCTATCTATGTATACTGAGGTGAAGACAATGTTTCCTGGGGGTGTTGAGGGGCAGAGCCCTCCATCAAGCCTCCCCTTGGGCGCCCAAAGGGCACATCCAGTCACAGCAATTTAGATTGTTGAATAAAGTTTGTGACGTGGAGTTTGGGACTTTTTCTTTGGTGAGTTCTTCCGTACTGTATAGGAATACTAAAAAGTCCATACACATGCTCTATAAAAATCATTGATGAACTATTGTGTCTGCAGGCTTTATTTTTTGTCATTTAGATAACTTGATTTTATTTGTGGAAAAATGCTATTAATTATCTAAGAACTTTTTTCTTGTAATTTTATTGACTATGTTTTCTTCACATATGCACTGCAATCTTTCTGGGATCTGTAATGAATGTGATCAATGTGGCCTCTTTGATGCAACTTAGAATCTTGGATGTTTGTTCCATATTCTTTTAATATTAGAATATTTGATATTGCTTCAACAACAGGAGACATGCTATGCACATTGTAAGATGTCTTAGAATACTGGAGTGCAGTAGCTGCTTAGAGAAAAGAGATACAGATATGTTATTTTATTATTAACAGGGCTTACACCTCAAGGATTGATTCATGACTTATTTTTATTTTTCCTCTACAACATACATTTTTTCAGAGGCCAGCTGAGTATGATAGTTCCTAAAATGGAGTGGAGGAGCCTATCGTAGCATATATTACTAACTTTGCACCTATGTGCTTGTACTTATGATGTGAATTTTAAAAGATTTTCTTTGATATTAACCCATTGTTGCTGGGTATATGCATTTTCCATTGTGGCTATTGTTTTATTAATTTTATTTGTAATTGCTGTTCTATATATGGCTTTAGAAGTACTTGATTGCCAAAAAGTCACTTTCTGTGCTTACATATATGTGTGAGTATGAGTGTATGTGTATGTGTATATGCATGTGTGTGTGTGTGTGTGTGTGTGTGTGTGTGTGTGGTGTGTGTGTGTGTGTGTGTGTGTGTGTGTGTGTGTGTGTGTGTGTGTGTGTGTGTGTGTGTGTGTGTGTGTGTGTGTGTGTGTGTGTGTGTGTGTGTGTGTGTGTGTGTGTGTGTGTGTGTGTTGTGTGTGTGTGTGTGTGTGTGTGTGTATGTGTGTGTATGTGTGTGTGTGTGCATGTGTGCGTGTGTGCATGCGTGTGTGTGTGCGTGCGTGCGTGCTTGCGTGTGTGTGTGTGTGTGTGTGTGTGTGGGTGCGTGCTTGCGGGTGTGATTGAATTAATCATATTGCTTAATCCATTGCCACTGGTAGCATGTAATATTCAGTGTAGCTTTGTTCTGTGAAATGTTTTTACACATAAATGACACTGTAAGTGTTTTTTTTATAATGCTATTAATAGTTATTGACTTGATAGTTATTTTGATATTATTAACAATTCAAATAGCAATATGAAATTAAAAAGAACTTTTCCAGGCGTCAAGGAGCACGGTAAACCAGTGAGATATGTAGGACTGGTAACTGATTCCTTAGTGACATAATACTTGTAGTTCCATCTGTGTAACTTGTTGAGCCAACTGAGTGAAACAATTAGTAATCTAAACTCAAAATGTGGATGGCATGTTTGTACATGTCATTCCTGTTGGCATTTTTGGCATAATTACAGGGAATAAATGTACAAATACGAAAAGAAATGCATTTACAATCAGGCATTAAACTGTTATGCCTTGAATGAAGTTTCAAAACTCTTCTAGGCAAACCATCTTATTCTATTCATTTTTCTTTTTTCAGTTTGCTGAGGAGGAAGAAGAGGAGGAAGAGAAAGAGATACCTGAGCGCAAGAAGGTCCAACCCTCATCTCTGGGGACAGGGCTCTTTGCAGTGTTACCTGAGCCTAAGAATTTGGCAGTGAAGGAGACGAAACGCTCTCTTGTACCCCACATCCTCACCAAAAGACCTACGGAACCCCCACAAAAGAAGCCAAGAAAGGCGCCAACACAGGTTAGGCCTTTGGTGGAAGCAAATGACTCTGATGAGGAAGCAGAGACTGGTGGGTCCTCTGATTTCTTTTCACTCACTGACACAGCACCTGACCCAGCTACCCTGGGTAGAGCGGTTGCCTCAATTACTACTGCGCCAGATGTTGAGCCCCCAGTTCCCAGAACACCTGTTTCTCAGAACTTGCCTGTATCTGAAGATAGGGTCAATGAACCTGTGGCTTCCATGAATGCTTACACAGACAGCGTGTATCCTCAAACTCATAGTGAGGAGCAAGACTTCTATCCGGTTCAGGGGCAGGAGGAGCAGACCCCACAGCCAGCATCCTTTGACCAGGAGGCGATGCTGCGTTTGACAGGGAAGCGGCGTGGCAAGGGTGAGGCCATCAACTTCATTGATGTTAGTGCGGACGATGCCTTGCTTACACGAGATGAGTGGATGACAAAGGCCCTAACAGAAGAGAAGCCAACGCAGA